AAAAAAAAAAAAAAAAACAGAGGAAAGGAAATTATCAACAAAATCATTTTAAGAACATTTTCCCCAGTAAAAAGACAAGCTTCCAGGCATGCTGAGAGCCCAAAAAAAGAATAAAAACAGACCCACTAAAGTGCATCATCATGAAAATTCAGAAGACTAAGAACAAGTAGGTTCTACAAAATTCCAGTGAAAATATGGGCTTCCTATTAAAAAAAAAAAAAAATCAAGAATGAGAACAGCACTAGAATTCTAAACAACAGCACTAAAAGCTGGAACATAATGGAGCAATACCTTCAAAATTTCAGGAAGATTTTAGAAAATATGCTCCACCAAAATGGGGGAGAAAAGAAAGAAACAGGAAGATTAAAGGATCCAGCCACCAAAAAAGAAAGGGCAAAAGAAATTTCTATGATGATGAAAAAATAGTCTTTAAACCCAAAGCTATGGAACAAATCTAGAGAGTAAAACCAACCAATCTTGATTAGGCAGGTTATATAGATCTGGAAGAGATTTCTTACATATATATGATTGATGGGATACTTAATGTGCTCAAAGGTACTGAACTCAGTTTTACCACTGGAGGAAGGCTTTGTGACTGGATAGAAAAAAAGAATCATTGACTCTAGGTAAAACAGAATAATGCACAGGACAGGAAAATAAGATATATTACATGGCTCAACTGTGAAGAGTGATTACATACTCATAATAATTAAAACTATGAATATTAATTTACAATTACTGGGAGGATAGGGAAGTGAGAAGAATGTGAGTGTGTGGTAGGGGTGAAGAAACTTAGAGGAATCACACTTCCCTGTTTGAAAACTTACTACAAAGCTACAGTACAGAAGACACTGAGGCACTGGTGTAAGGACAGACATACAGATTAACAGAATTCAGAGGCCAGAAATATACTCTCACATATACAGTCAAATGATTTTTATTTATTTATTTATTTTTGAGAGAGAGACAGAGAAAGTGCGAGAGGGGGAGGGGCAGAGAGAGGGAGAGTCCCGAGCAGGCTCCACAATGTCAGTGCAGAGCCAGATGCAGGGCTGGAACCCACTAACTGAGATCCTAACCTGAGCCAAAGCTGGACGTTTAACCAACTGAGCCACCCAGGCGCCCATACAGTCAAATGATTTTCAACAAAGGTGCCAAAACAAGTTGAAGGAGAAGGAACAGTCTTTTCAACAAATGCTCTTGGAACACATGAACATCCAATATGCAAAAGAACAAAGTTGAACTCCTATCCATCCACCTCTCAGTGGATTAATTAATATACAAAAAATTATACAAAAATTAATTCAAAATGGATCATAGATATACATTTAAGAGCTAAATTTTAAAACTCTTACCATAAAAAAAGGCATCAATCTTCATGACCTTGGATTAGGCAATGGTTTGTTAAATAAGAGACCCAAAGCACAAAAAACAAAAGAAAAAAAAATAAAAAGTTGAATTTCACCAAAATTAAGAACTTTTGTGCTTCAAAGTACATCATCAAGATAATGAAGAGTCAAGCCGCTATGGACCTGGGGTAATAATGATATGTCAATGCAGGCTTGTCATTTGTAACAAATGTACAATTGGGGTGGAACGTTGGAAACAGGGGAGGTTACATGTTTGTGAGGACATGGGCTATATGGAAACTGTACTTTCTGCTTAATTTTGTGGAGTATTGAAAACTGCTCTAAAAAAATAAAGATTATTAATTTAAAAAAGAAGTACCCATATGGCAAGGCTGCTGTGAAGATGATTAAATGCGAGATGCTATGTGGAAAGTGCTTAGATCATTGACATATCCTAATTATTCAGTAAATATTACTAATTAATAAAAAAAAGTCAATCTGCAGAATAGAAGAAAGTATTTGTAAATCATATATCTTATAAGGGATTTGTATCTAGAATATATAAATAGCTCCACAACTACAATAATAAAAAGACAACTAACTCAATTAAAAACCGAGTAAAGGATCTGCATAGACATTCCTCCAAAGATACATACAAATGGCCAATAAGCACATAAAGATGTTCAGTGCCATTAACCAACAAGGTCCTGTAAATCAAAACCACAAAGAGATACCACTTTACCTCCCTTGGATGAATATAACAAAAAATATAGACAATACCAGGTATTGATAAGAATGCAGAGAAAATGGAACTCTTATAGACTGCTGGTGGGAATATAAAATGGTACAGCTACTTTAAAAGTTAGGCAATTCCTCAAAAGCTAAACATATAATTAACACATAACTCAGCAATTCCACTCTCAGGTTTATATCCAAAATAATTTTAAACATATGTGTTCACGCAAAAACATGTACACAAATATTCACGGCAGCATTTACAACAGCACAAAAGAATCAACAGCTAAAGTGTCCGTCAACTGATGTGTAAATAAATAATGAGTGATACATCCAAATGACAGAGTAGTATTCAGCAATAAAAGGGAATGAAGTATTGGTATGAAGAACAACAAAGGTAAACCTTAAAAATATTATGCTATATGTGTGTATACACACACACACACAGGAAAAAGAAATTTGTGTAATTAAAAAAAATTTTTTTAGGTTTTATTTGTTTTGTGAGAGAGTGAGAGTGAGCTTGAGCAGGGGAGGGGCAGAGAGAGAGAAAGAGAGATTCCCAAGCAGGCTCTGTGATGTCAGCACGGAGCCCGACATGGGGCTCCACCTCATGACTCGTGAGACCATGACCTGAGATGAAATCAATAATTGGATGCTTAACCAACTGAGCCACCCATGTGCTCCAAAACTACTGTAATTTTATTACAACAGTTCATTTCACAGATGAACATACTGTGGCTTAAAGCTTATCCTCCGAAACATGCAGGAAGTACAAAAATAAATTTATGCAATTAGTGTGCAACAGACATTAATACCGTTCATAAACATCAATTTTAGAAAAGAAATTTAAATAAAGGTTATTAGAAAGATAAAACACTTGTTACCAGTTGCATTTGAAACTAAGATTTGCCAAGAGTTATAGTGACTTTTTTTTTATAGTGACTTTTAATTCATTTACCAACTCAGCACTTTGCCAATTCAAGTTATGTGTATCTCTTCAACCCATGACATCCTTTCCACATTGATTGTAAATTCCATCACCTTTATTAGCATTTTAATCACAGAGGCCTGTAATTAC